CCCCAATCGGATGGCCAACTCCTCCTTCAAGGATGTAAGAATTCTGAGATCAAGTCACAATACCCATACAAAAAAACTATTTTGGGGTCTCTTTAACGTCCTCTTTTTCTGTTTCAGGATACATCGTGCATTATGACTGTGTACACCGATAAAAAGTTGCTTGCTATTAACTTTTCATTCTTCAGCTCACCACAGAAATACAGCCCAGAGTCAACTGAATCTACTTGTTTGATCTCAAGAAAAAGCACAGAGATGTTGGATGTCATGTTGAATTTGCCATTTTGAAATCCTTCATAGAAAGTCACATTGCTCTCAGGGCTGATAATTGATGAGATCCAGCTAGCGTTGAATCTGTTGGTCATTCTGAACCAGGATAAGTAAATACAAAAATGCTAAGGTTGGAGCACTGCAGTGTGACTGCTTCACCAGGCTGAACCTCCACATAGTGAAACTCTAAGGCTAAGACAGAGATCCAACCTGGAACAAACAACGAGTATTAATAAACTTAATATTCAATAACAGTCCCTGTGACATGTCAGCCTGCATAATTATAAACAGTATTAGTCTTTATCTTTATCTGAATAGGACTCCCTAAAGTCTTATCAATTCCCATCATACGCAGTAGTGTTGTTAAATAATAATAATAATGTTGATTTACTTCGAGCAAGAGGTGACATCATTTAGATTTGTTTGACACACTGGAGCACGTATGCTCTGAGCAGCTCTTCCAAATGAACTAACTGAATCGCCTTGTCTTTAAACAAATAGTAGCATTTAACAGTTGAACTGCTTACTGATCAGGAAGAGCCCCATCATGTGGTCAACTGCAATTCACAGCACATGCAGTACTTATTAGAAACATCTATGCATGTCCCCAATAATACATTAATCCAGGCAGTCAATCATCTTGTTAAAAATAAAAATCTTTCACAATGGTTCTTGGAATCTAAAAGTTTGCTAGTTTAATCAGATTGGGGCAGACAGAATCCTTTAGCGGGGAAAAATGCTTTATTGACGAGGGCATCAAATACCCTCATTTTGTCAGATATACACAATATGTACAAATGTATTGGGCCACAGTGCTTAATCTTTAAATACAGGTATTGAAAATCTCATTGCCACTGGGGTGTATAAAATCAAGTACCCAGCAGTCTGCCTTTTAGATGTTTTAGAAAGAATGGGTTGTTCTGAAGAGTTCACTGAGTTTGACAGTCAGTTTGTGAAATTTGTGAAATTACTGCAAAACGGAAGCATCTAGGAACCAGAACAACTCACCAACAAAGTGGCAGACCACGTAAGGTTACAAAGTGTCGGTGGCTGGGCGTATCACCTCCACCTCAGCCTAATGTGTAAAAGCTGCTGATGCTCTGCTGACTCAGTGACTGCAGAGTTCCAACCTCCTGTGGCATTAACATCAGCAAAAACTAAGCAAAACAATGCACCGGTATATTCATGGCATGGCTGAGGAGCTCCTGTAGGTTTAAGGTGGCCCAGTTACTTTGTCTGTATAGTGTATATCCTGTACAAGGTGTCTGATCACACCAGCCACATAGCAGCGAACAACAGCATTTGATTCCAAGAGGTAATGCTTCTATGTCAGTAGTTATAATCAGTGTTGGTCAAGTTACTTGAAAAAAGTAATCAGTAACTAATTACTCATTACTTCCCCAAAAAAGTAATCCTGTTACCTTACTGATTACTTATTTTCAAAAGTAATTAATTACTTAGTTACTTAGTTACTTTTTAAATCCATCATACAAAATGTAATCAAATGGAAAAGTCTCTTTTTAAAACTTGTTTTATTAGTTTTAACCTTTTAACTTTATGCATCAAGCAAA